TTATGTTTTTTTTTTTTTTTTTTTTTTTTTTTTTTTTTTTTTTCCCTTTAAACAGGTTTAATTTGCTACTTTTCAAGGTTTGTTTATCTTGAGGTACACTTACAAGGCCTGCCTAATTGTTGGACCCTTTCTTTCTATAGTTAGAAGATTAATCTGTCATTTTTATTTGGGTGGATGAGAATGGAGGAGTGGAGGCAAAGTAGATCTCCAAATTCACTATTACCATTTTTTGGGGTAGTAGGAGCTTAAGATCCTATTTACCTTAGCTGGTATTTATGCTGTTCTTTTATCACTAACTTGGTTTTCTAAGAAATCAAAGAATATTGGAGACTTTCATTTATTTTCCTTTGATGGTTTTCCTTTTGTTTTGTTTATTTGTAATATAAACCATAGTTATCAATAGTGGTATAGTGGTGCTGAGAGGCCATTGGTTGCCACAAAGGTTTGAATAGTGGTGCTTGATCAAATAATGGCCACAGTGGTGCTAGATCAAGGCTTTTATGTAAAACCCAATTTTTCCCCTCAAGAAAACAAATATTTTGGGGGATTATTGTTGGAATAAATGTAAACGTAGGGATTATTTGTAGCCTATTTATTCATCAATGATTCAGATTTTCAGTGTATCTTTATACATATGAAATGTTGTGAATTGCTTTATTTTCATTATCAATTTGTTTCGGTAGGGAAAATCTACTGCCCCAGTGTCTAAAGAAGAGCTTGGAAGGGCTACTTGGACTTTTCTTCACACTCTAGCAGCACAGGTTTTGTCATTGCAATTTGTACTAATACTATTGATATTGGTTCCTCCATTTCTTTTAATCATCTAGTGTTCTCATGTATTGTGCACCAACTTGTTCCCAGTTGCATAAGTATTAAATTATTTTACGTGAGGAGACAGACGTACTAGTGAGTGCTGATCATTTTCTCCCCATTTTATTGCTTTACATAGGCTGTTATTTTAACAGTGTTTCTCATGGTTAATAGCTACAGCATGGATATGGTGCATCCCTTTATAAATGATGTTCACCAATAAAAACTGTATTGGGTTGGGTGCAATTTCTCTCATTTTCATGGTGTCCTACCTGCCATACTAAAATTTCAACATGTTTATCTTCAAACTGTCTGTTTCCACACGTTCTGGAAGCAAGTTTGGACTTTGTTGCTAACTTTCAAGTTCAACTTCTCAAGTCTTCTTGAAATGCTTTCTTTTCATCAAAATAGTAAATTTATTATTTTCTGTTAATGATGTCATACCCTAGTTAAGTGCTCAACAAAATATAAGTGTCCATTGTTTTGCGTGTATTTGAGAATGTTCAAAAAGGAAAAGATACTCAATGTTTTTCTTATTCATGTGGTGAGTTTGATTCGATTGCCTTATCACCGAAACAAAACATCAAAATGAAATACTTGATGTTTTCAAATAGAGTTCTGAATGACCTTGTTCTCTTTTCAGTATCCAGATAATCCTACAAGACAACAGAAGAAGGATGTAAAAGAACTGGTATCTTCCTTCTTTCCTTCCTTTCTTTGTCCCTTGTTATAATTGATAGAATTTCATCAAGTTAGAGGTCAGAACATGTTGGGGTCTTATTTGAGTGTTTGTTGTAATTGAACAAATCCCTGCAGTTAAATTTATCTTATGGTCTTGTGTTACAAAACTATGATGCCTGATTTATGATGTTAATATGAATAGATATTATCCTGAGTCCTGACAACAAGTGTGACAGAGGAATGTTTAAATGTGTGCTTGTGTTTTGTCCCTATCCTTAAAGTAAGACAGAGGTTTGTTCTAAACATATGATGTAACAGATTCTAACCGGTCATTGACATTCAGGAAAACAATATACTTTTGTCAAAATTTCTGTTCATATATATGGTAGTAGGCGTATGGAGTTATCCTTGGAGAGTATAAAAAACTTGTAACAGGGTGTAATTATTACTACAGGTACAAATATTAACTCGAATGTACCCTTGCAGTGAATGCGCAGATCACTTTAAAGAAGTTGTTAGGTATATTTATTTTCTCACTCTTTATCCCACAATTGGTCATTTTTGATTAGAATTGTTTATTCTGATTTTGCTCCCTATCTATTTTATTCATTTAAAATTTCATTTTCTATTCAGATTGTCATATTTTTATAAGTTCATTTTAGTATGAATATGGACAAACTACTAAATTTGGTTATAATTGTAAATTCATGGTGGATATTAAATAATATACAAGTTTGACCATTGGTATTTATTCATGGGTGTTAAGTATGTGTTTTCTCTTTCAAATAGCATTTTTGCCTGTCAACAACGAATTCAAACTTCTTGTTGTGTTTTACCTTTTCAGGCTAAATTATTGCCTTGATCTAATGGAACAAAATATAGCAAGTGAATTACATGGTCCATAAATTGTTCTCATCCTTACATTCCTATATTTTTCCAAAAGCATAATTTCATTTACATTTTTCTTTTCTAACAAGGTCCCTTTTTTCAGCAATATTAAGTAGTAAGACTAAGATAGAAGGATGAGAACACTTTCATTTAGCATATGCAAATCCATGCCATATTTAAAAGAGGATAGCCCCACAAACTCACATATCAAATTCCCTCATAACCTCTATTTGCAAACATTAATGAAGTCTTTTTTTTTAATTTTTTTCTTTTATAACTATAATACTGTCTGTAAATGCAATTTGACCTTGCATAAAAGTCAAACTGTTCTACTACCTTGCTTTGACCTTAATCAACTCTGACTCTTTCCAATATAATAGCTCTTATGGAACTTCAATACAATAGAATGTTTCAAAAATGAATTATTGCATCTACTCTGATTTTCACATGTTGCAATACCATGTTAGTCTTTAAATTTCTATTATACCTTTTTGACTTGAGCCCTTCTTTTCATGTTTGTTTGACAGAGCAAATCCTGTTCAGGCTGGATCACATGCTGAATTTTCTCAGTGGTTATGCCATGTGCATAATGTTGTTAATAGAAGGCAAGTTCTTCTTGTTATGGTTTCTAAGAGGTTATTATTGACTATTATCACGATCATTTAACAAGTAGCTCAAACCATCTTTTGCTCATGGTTTTTGTCAGTTTAAACCACTTATGGTATGTTAATGGCATGTCCTGCTAAAACTTGGGTCCTGATTTTCTGTTGTATAGAGGAATATCCTTTGTAGTATACAACAGTTTGCTACCGGTTAAGACTTGAGAAGTTCTTGCTATATTCATACCTGAAAAAGTCTCCCTTTTATTTTATATCTTAAAAACTGATAGGCTAAGGGAAGGGAGACTTTTACTTTTATTTTCAAATAAACCATCAATTCAGGTCCTAAAGTATATTCCTTTCTCTTATGTAGTCCTTAAAGTAATGAAATTATATAAGTAGTCTCTAAAGTATTAGAAATTATGTTATATAGTCCCTCAAGTATTGAAAGTACTTTAAATTAGTCCCTCAATGTTAGTAACGTATATCAACGTAGGGACTCAATTGATAAATTTTCAACACTTTAGGTTACTTATATAATTTCATTACTTTAGGGACTATTTAGGTAAAAGAGTAATACTTGATGGACCAGATTGGTAGTTTATTCTTTCATTTTTTGTTGATCTTTATATCTATTCCTGTATTTTATATTAGAATATATAACTTGGTATCCCCACTCTCGCAATTAGATATTTTCAATGATCATTCTGTTCTCTCTTTTAGAGGTGCATTTCAAGCCTATTAACTGGCCATTTTTTTTTTCTTTCACCCATTTCAAACTACCCTCTTTTATTTTCCTATCTCTAAATTTAATTTCAATAGTTTTGTTTAAAAGAAATTTTCGAATAATAGTTGAAAATAACCTTATATGACAATCTAAATTATTCATTGTAAATCTAAAATATAATTTATATATTAAAATTATTTATTACAAATTTTAATTATATTAAATAAATACTTATATTTAATACAAAGGCTGGAATAGTAGTTAGACATAAATCCATGAGTCCGTTTTTGACATGGCATTAGAGCCTCTCACAAATTAGTTTTATCCTTGCTGCCCCATTCTTGTCATTAAAGTTGAATTTTGGCAAGGTACAAGGGATTTGAGCACAGTTCACGCATTAAGCCCGAAGAACTCTGCTCGAGGGTGTTTTGATAAATAAAACCAATCATAAATCTCCTGTTAACAACTTGAGCTTTTGTGAGTTAGTCCTTGACAGTTTATAGTTCTGCAGTAGTTGCTGCTTTCTGCTTAAGCAAACTAACTGGTGTAACTGCCATGATTCCCGATTTGCATGACACTTGGTATTCTTTTTAACAGCCTTGACAAACCAGTATTCCCCTGTGAAAGAGTTGATGCAAGGTGGGGCAAACTGGAATGTGAACAGAGAGCATGTGAAATTATTGGAAGTACAACATTTTTTGGGAAGGAAAGGTAGAAATCTATATGATAACTATACATACTATATGAGGTATGTGTTAAATTTGGAACTCTGGAAAAAAATTTACCTGGTGGCTTTGCATTGGAGTATGTGAATATATTTTTTCTGCAATATTCATAATTTATTTTGTTAAATGATTTTTTAAGCCTGGATTGTATTGATATTTTGAGCGATCCAGATCAGAGATTTAGTTGACTAGTTGCCAAAGCTTGTCAAATCTGTACATGAATTTTTTTCTCTCTCCCATAATGAATTATACTGGTTGTGTATTACCAACATTCATTTGGTCCTATTGGTACTGCGGTTGTTCTTTAAGTCTCAAGTCTCAAGTTTCGAGTCTTGGGTTTGATAAAAAAAAGACATTGTGAGAGATAGTCTTAATGCAGTTAAGGTCGAGACTGAAACTAGTTTCATTGGTAGATACTCCAGTCATTACCATGGTAAGTTGTTGGTAACTTCACTTGAATTACCAAATTTCCTAAATAATGTAATTAAACTACATGTGTTAATGTTTTCTGCACTGTTATCTAATCATGAATTGTTAATAAACAAAATAGTAGTCAATACTCATACAAAAACCTTATGTTGTCATCAGCGGCCACCATAGCGGGGTAGGGGCTCCTTGCTTCCATAGTAACGCCGTAGCAGGCGTTTCACTGGAGCAGCCAGAGCAGAACAGTTTACGAAAATTAAAAAATTAGTTTACTAGGGTTGTGTTTGGATTGAAGAATGGATTTGGGGGAGTGGAAAAGGAAAGATTTGAAGAGAAAGAGAGTGAAAAGTGAGGTTGTTTGGATTAAGGGAAAGATAGTGGAAAGTGAGTGGAAATTTTTTGAGAATTTGTGTAGAAATTGATTGATGTGATAGATAAAAATAAAAAGTTTAATAGATAAATATGTAATTTACACTTTTACCCTTGGATTAAAAATGAGTAGAATATTATTTATTGTAAATAATAATAATTACAATAAAATTATATTAATAGGTATAATTTATTAAAAAAAAATAAATAATGATAATAATAATAAATATTAGAAAAATAATAAGAATCATAATAAATAATAATGATACTAATTATAATAAATAATAATAATATTAATAATAATGATAATAATAATAATATTTATAATAATAAATAATAATAACAAAATATATTATGATAATTATATTTTCTAATATTATTTGATTAATGTTTATGAAAGTGTTATCATTTTAATTTTATAAACATGTATTACTTTATTTTTTTTTATATTTCCACATTTTGATGTCAATATTTAAATAATAGAATTTTCTTAATATAAAAAAAAATGTACAATAAATTTTTTGAAAGTTAATTAATAAATTAAAAAAATTGATAAATCATTCAAATAAATTAGAATGAAATGAAGATACATTTGTTAATTGTACAAGTTAATTTTTACCAATTAAAAAATTAAGAAATTTTTAACATTACAAAGTAGATGGGTAATAACATATTTGTAAAATGGAACAGAAAATACAATTCAGTCATTAATTAAGTAAACAATAATTAAATATGACATAAAATAATAGAAATGAAAAATGTTGCAACTAAATAAAACATATTTAAATTACAATAATAAAAAAGAAAATAAGATAACGTAGTTTATTCAAATGAACGCTGAAAGTCATCAAATTTTTGTTTGAGGTCATTAAGCCTGTTATGTACTCGATCGAAACCTCTATTAACATTGATGGTCAAATTATTTAATCCTTCTTGTAACCCTTGAATGCCAGTCCATGTTTGGGAAAATATTTGACCATCATACTAGACTGGGGGTTGTTGTGTGATGTCGGCAGGCTGCTCATCAGCATGGGCCTCAGGCATTGCATGGTCTTCATCTTCAACATTTTGGCCATGATCATGATTATCCCTGCCATGTAACCAAATCTCGTTGACATTGACGACATTTAATTTTTTCAAGGTTTTTTTATTAAAAAAATATGGCCACCCTAATTCGACTGCAACATCAATTGATAAGTCTACGCCAGAAACAACCAAAATGCGTGAAATTAAAATGGGGTATGGAAGAGGCATTCCATTGTCCTTGCATTTGACCATGTGTTGCATGATATAATGGGACTAGTTGATCAAAATGTTATTCTTTAAGGCCCATAACACAAAAATGTCTTCCTGCAAGAGTTGGGAAAATTTACTTGATCGGGGAGCCAATATATGGACGTAGACATAATGTAGGAGTCTGTCGTTAATGTTAAGACTTCATACATTTATGACATTTCGGCTCTGCAGCTCTGGTCTAATCATAGATGTCAGTGCTATGTCACGGTCGAACTGCATCTCCTCTGGGATGTTTGGAAATGATAATTTTTGCCCCTGATACTTCAAACTAGCCAGAGTTAACCAATCAAATAGTTTTATTTTTATCTTTGTTTGTTCACGTCACTATAGAGGAAACCATCTTCAGATACTCTCAAGTTCGAATAGAAGACCTTAATAAGATCTTCAATGAAATCACATTTGAGAGCCACAAAATGCTGCAAACCTTGATATTCTATATGGTGGTGAAAATACAGCTCTGATGTGGCAAAGTAGCTAAAGTCCATAACCTTTGGATGAAGGACTAACCTGTGGTAAAATTCCTTGCCATATTTAATTATCTGATCACCCTGGCTAAAAAAAGTGTCTGATTTAGAACTTGTTCAATTTGTGGTAGTTTAGGACTAGCTGTTCTGTCCGAGGTGGCAGGAGTTTTTCCTTTTGTTTCTTTTGAATTTCTTTTTCTTGAATCGGATGCCATACCTTAAAATTATATATAAAATAACCAATAACAAATATGATGTTAAACATAAGACATAATCCATAAAACATAATTGTAACTAATAACATTAAAATGTGTCTTTTACCATTAATAAATACTTTTATAACATTATGGTCAAGTTTACAATGTTTAAATCATTAGCAAAACATTACATACAATGCATAAAAAAATACAATAGCTACGAATGACAAATCAACCACTTTCACCCATGAACTTTAACAATTGGTTGAGAGAGAAACGAGCTTACAAACCTAGAGTCCTTCTCTCTAAAACCTCTCTAAAACCTTGCCTCTTCAACTGCACATAAGACCTATTTATAAAAATTCAGGAGTAGCCAGAAAGGCTCGTTTCAAATCCAGAATGGCCCATTCTGAACTCAAACGTCATATGTAAAATTTACGTCCAGAATGGCCCGTTCTCAAATCAGAACGGCCTGTTCTGAGGTTGCATTTTTACCCATAATAACTAATTTGGAATGGCCCGTTCTAGTTTGGGAATGACCCGTTCTAGATTACTAAATTACGACCCGTCCTGGGCTACTAATTACGTTACACACAGGGAAGCAAAAATATGCCACCATAATCGATTATATGCCATGCATAATTGATTATGCTGGCTGGGGGTTCAGCTTTTCACCACGATTTGCCCTCTATTCTTCATTCTCATACCTCGGCTACCCTCCCTCATGCATAAAGAAATGAAGCTTACCTACAATGGCTGCCCCTTCGAGAATCACTACAGCAACAACCACCCTCGCACGAGCACATAGCACACACAGAGCTTCCAAGTCTCTTATAAACGCGTCACTAGTGAGACCCATTCAACCTCATTTCAAACGCATCACTGTGCCATTCAAACGAAGGACAAAGGCCCGTGAACCATGGCAGAGATTCCTCTGTTGCATGGCATAGTCTCTGCATGCATAGCATGGCAGAGCTTCATCTCTTTTCAGCTTTTGGGCAGAGGTATTATCGGATTTTCTCATTTCTTACGTGGCTTTCATCTCTTTTCTTCACAACTTCTCGAGCAACGGCCACGCGGGTTCTCCCGCTTTTCTTCGCTTTTCTTTCGGTGCAAATCAGCAGAAACAAACGTCAAGTTTCTTCACCTTTCGTTTGTCGTGAACAGTAAATATCAGAGGAACGGCCACGCGGGTTGTGTTTGGATTGAAGGATGGATTTGGGGGAGTGGAAGAGGAAAGATTTGGTTGTTTGCCTAGTCCCTGTTTGTTTCAGGGGATTTACTGTTCACGACGAATGAAAGGTGAAGAAACTTGACGTTTGTTCTCAAATTGGAACGGACCGTTCCAAACTAGTAAATTGGCTTAAAAACCCTAGTTGAGAACAAACCATTCCAAATTGGCTGTTATGGGTAAAAATGCAACCCCAGAATGGGCCGTTCTGATTTGAGAACGGACCGTTCTGGATGCAAATTTTACATATGACGTTTGAGTTCAGAATGGGTCGTTCTGGATTTGAAACGAGCCGTTCTAGCCACTCCTGAATTTTTATAAATTGGACCTATGTGCAGTTGAGGAGGCGAGGTTTTAGAGAGAGGTTCTAGAGAGAATGACTCTGGGTCTGTGAGCTCGTTTCTCTCTCAACCAATTGTTAAAGTTCATGGGTGAAAGTGGTTGATTTGTCATTCGTAGTTATTGTATTTTTTTATGCATTGTATGTAATGTTTTGCTAATGGTTTAAACATTGTAAACTTGACCATAATGTTATAAAAATATTTATTAATGGTGAAAGACACATTTTAATGTTATTAGTTGCAATTATGTTTTATGCAATATGTCTTATGTTTAACATCATATTTGTTATTGATTATTTTATATATAATTTTTAGGTATGGCATCCGGTTCAAGAAAAAGAAGTTCAAAAGAAACAAAAGGAAAAACTCCTGCCACCTTGGACAGAGCAGCTGGTCCCAGGCTACCACAAATTGAACAACTTCTAAATCAGACACGTTTTTTCAGCCAGTGTGATCAAATGATTAAATATGGCAAGGAGTTTTAACACAGGATAGTCCTTCATCCAAAGGTTATGGACTTTAGCTACTTTGCCACATCAGGCTGTATTTTCACCACCATATAGAATATAAAAGTTTGCAGCATTTTGTGGTTCTCAAATGTGATTTCTTTGAAGATCTTATTAAGGTTTTCTATTCGAACTTGAGAGTATCTGAAGCTGGTTTCCTCTATAGTGACTTGAACAAAACAAAGATAAAAATAAAACTATTTGATTGGTTAACTCTGGCTAGTTTGAAGTATCAGGGGCAAAAATTACCATTTCCAGACATCCCAGAGGAGATGCAGTTCGACCATGACATAACATTGACATCTATGATTAGACCAGAGTTGCAGGGCCAAAATGTTAGAAATGTAGGAAGTCTTAACATCAACGACAGACTCCTACATTATGTCTACGTCCATATATTTGCTCCCCGATCAAGTAACTTTCCAACTCTTGCAGGAAGACATTTTTGTGTTATGGGCCTTAAAGAATAACATTTTGATCAACTAGTCCCATTATATTATGCAACACATGGTCAAATGCAAGGACAATGGAATGTCTCTTTTATACCCCATTTTAATTTCACGCATTTTGGTTGTTTCTGGCGTAGACTTATCAATTGATGTTGCAGTCGAATTAGGGTGGCCACATTTCTTTAATAAAAAAACCTTGAAAAAATTAAATGTTGTCAATGTCAACGGGATTTGGTTACATGGTAGGGATAATCATGATCATGGCCAAAATGTTGAAGATGAAGACCATGCAATGCCTGAGGACCATGTTGACGAGCAGCCTGCCGATATCACACAACAACCCCCAGTCCAGTATGATGGTCAAATGCTTTCCCAAATATGGACTGACATTCAAGGGTTACAAGAAAGATTAAATAATTTGACCATCAATGTTAATAGAGGTTTTGATCGAATACATAACAGGCTTGATGATCTCGAACAAAAATTTGATGACTTTCAGCGTTCATTTAAATAAACTACGTTATCTTATTTTCTTTTTTATTATTGTAATTTAAATATATTTTATTCAGTTGTAATATTTTTCATTTCTATTATTTTATGTCATATTTAATTATTGTTTACTTAATTGATGACTGAATTGTATTTTCTGTTCTATTTTACAAATATGTTATTACCCATCTACTTTGTAATGTTAAAAATTTCTTAATTTTTTAACTGGTAAAAATTAACTTGTACAATTAACAAATGTATCTTCATTTCATTCTAATTTATGTCAATGATTTATCAATTTTTTTAATTTATTAATTAACTTTCAAAAATTTTATTGTACATTTTTTTTATATTAAGAAAATTCTATTATTCAAATATTGACATCAAGAAGTGGAAATATAAAAAAAATAAAGTAATACATGTTTATAAAATTAAAATAATAACACTTTTATAAACATTAATAAAATAATGTTAGAAAATATAATTATCATAATATATTTTGTTATTATTATTTATTATTATAAATATTATTATTATTATCATTATTATTAATATTATTATTATTTATTATAATTATTATCATTATTATTTATTATGATTCTTATTATTTTTCTAATATTTATTATTAATTATTATCATTATTTATTTTTTTTTAATAAATTATACCTATTAATATAATTTTATTGTAATTATTATTATTTACAATAAATAATATTCTATTCATTTTTAATCCAAGGGTAAAAGTGTAAATTACATATTTATCTATTAAAATTTTAATTTTTATCTATCACATCAATCAATTTCTACACAAATTCTCACAAACTTTCCACTCACTTTCTACTATCTTTTCCTTAATCCGAACAACCTCACTTTCCACTCTCTTTCTCTTCAAATCTTTCCTTTACCACTCCCCCAAATTCATCCTTCAATCCAATTTTTTTTCACTGTTCCCTTTTGTTGCTTTTTTATTTTTATTTTATTTTTTGTTTCTCTTCCTTTTTTTTTCTTTGTTGTTGGCCACAACAATTTTTGTTATTCTGTTCATTTTTGATTGTTCATGATATATACACCTCTTTTTTTCTATAAGTACACCTCTTTTTTAAAAAAAATAATTAACTTTTTTAAAATATTTCTAATTTTAATTTTTTTTTTAATTTTACATTCACAACATTTAATTTTAGTACTTTTTTTTTCACACATCATTCTTTTTTTTTTAAAATTTTTACATGTATTCCCTTTATCTTTTTTTTACCGCACCTATTTTGGTAGCATGTGAAAATTAAAAGAGAAAAAAAAGTGTGTGAAATAAAAGAAGAAAGTAGAAAATTAAAAGTTGGAGGTTTAAAATTAAAAAAAACAAAAGAAATTATAATATTTTATAATTTTTTTTTAAATAAAGGAGGTGTACTTATAAAAAAAAGGGTAGTGTATATATCATGAGCCTTTTTGATAGTCAGCAAAATCATAGCCCAACCAAATGTTAATCAACAAAAAAAAATAGAGGTTTGGTGCTGTTGGTACCGATACACCATCGGTGGTCAGCAGGATAAAAATTGAATTTTAACATTTATTTTTTTTAGTTACTTAGAACTTTGATTACTTCAGGCTGTAACTTTGGATGATTTAGAGCTTTAAGCATCCTGTCTCCTTGACTTTTTATTTATGTTTTGTTTAAGTTGTAGTTTGTAAATTAAGCATTAGTTCTTTGTGAAAGGAGAAATCCTTTGTGAAGGGGAAATCCTTGGTGGAGAGTTACCTCTTCTATTCTTTATTCCTTTGCCATCAAGAAATACAATCTTTTTTATTTTATTTATTTATTTTATTTTTCTAATTTGGGTTCCAAACAATTTTTTTCTTAAATGGATCGGAAGATTAGATTTTTTAAATGAAATTTAGCAGACTCAAATGGATTAATGAATTGTTTTTATTCAATATAATTCAATTAAAAAATCATTTGATCCATCTGTTTTCCACTTAAGGTCACCCACTAGTGAAATTTGGAAGAATAATGAAGAATTTCAGTTTTATAGGCAATTACACAAATTCAAGCCAAAACAATGTATCACCTATGAGAGACAATCCTATTTAAGTTAAGAATAATCCAAAATCGGCACAATGAAGTTAAATCTTTGAGCATAGACATTTTTCATACATTTGTTCCCCCTTTGATATGGTTGAAAAATATGTATAACACTTCTAAATACTATTATATGTCACACAAAAACTCTGTTTATAGTGTTTTATAGGTCTACCCTTCTTGCTTTCTGGCAGAAAAAATTCGTAAACTATCATTCTTGCTCTCAAACTTAAACGTATTTTCTATTACAAGTATAAAACATGCAAAAATTTCAAATATACATTTTTTTTCTTCCCAAAACCATGTTGGTATTCTTGATAGAAAATAGCCTTGTTTAAATAAAAATACTTTCGTTGGTAGAATGTTGCACCTAAACTAATCGCTTGTTATGACCTTTTCATTTTCTTATCAACCCCTAAACATAAATTTCTATCTTGCATGGAAGTGTTTTTAGAGAATTTTGTTTTTCAATGAGTTTGTAATTTTGAATTTTTTAACTTATTTAATTTGATTTGTATTTATCATAATTATTTATGAATTAAATAATATTTTAAAATATATTATTTATAAATAAAAATATATTTTTTATTACAACACATTATTTATCATAATCTAAAATATAATTTATTTTTAGAAATATTTATGTATACTAATTTTAAATATAATTTATATGTTTAAAAATAGTATTTATAAATATATAATTTATTATAAATTTTAATTATATGCTAAAATACTAGTTAACAAATATCTCATATCTTTAGACTCTTGCATGAAAAATACATGTTAAGAGGGGTCATAGATCTTTGTATGTTAAGATCAATTTTAGATTCTCGACCCATGACAATTTACTAAATATTAAAAAAATTGTATATCAACACAAATTCCAAGAATTTTAACAATTACAAGATTGAAATGGCATATAAAAAGAAATGTTCGATGATCATATACTGTCGATGTAAAATAATTTTGCACCACTCACCAATCAAAAATCTCTATTGGTATAACTTTTAATGTAGTTATTGGTATTTTAGTCTGTATATTTTACAAGTTAAATTTTTATATTATATATAATAAAAATTTATAATAAATTATATATGAAAATAAATATTATATTTAAATATATATTATATTTAATTTTTGTATAAATGGATATTTTTAAATATATAAATTATATTTTTGTAAAAAAATATTAATTATATTTTAGATTTAAGATAAATAATTTATGTTGTGAAACAGAATTATTTTTAATTATTGATAATTTATTTTATTAATATGAAAATTTAATCCAAAGATAAATATAATAAATAAAAAATGGGAATAGGTAAGAAGTTAACAAAATTCTAAAAACCCTCTTTTCCTTCCAAAAAATAGTTCTTAGAAAGGCTCTTGTGTAAGATAATATTTACATTTAATATATAAAGATTGATGAATAACAGTCAAGAAATATACCATGTATGTTTTGTGATTGGATGACTGAAAATATTTTATTTTGTTAGTATATAGTCTTTTTTCTCTTATTAAAATAGGAAACAATCAATAACAATATTTAAATTAAAAATTATGTCAAGTCCAAGTAACCCCACCTCTAAGATGAAATATATAGTTTAAATTCATTTATTCACAACATGGTTGCCGATCGTATAAAACATGAAATATGAATCATGGTTTGCATGCGCTTTATTTCACCATGATTTGAATTACAGTTTATCGTTCATGTGGAAGTGTGAGAAAGGGTATTTTGACTGGAACAAGTTCTAGGTTCTCCCTCAAGAGGAAAACCTATAGGATACATAAGCTCCCAATGCAGCAATCACCAGAAATGCAGCACCAATATTTGCTGCTAATTTTTTCTCTTCCTCGTTCCATGTCTCTTCTGCTATTTTTCTGACAACCTGGGAAACAGAACCAACCCATTCCTTTGCATTCTCTTGGCACTTCCCTTCCTTTTTGGGAGTAGTTATGCTGCTGGGTTCTTTTTCTTTTTTCTTCTTTGTAGCAGAAGGTTCTACTTCCTTGGCTAACAATTTTTCTGTCTTGGTTTCCTTCTCTTCAAAATCACTCTGCTCCTTATCTTTCACAGGCTTTCTTGACTCTGAAGGTTCCTCTTTCACTTCCTCCTCGTCATCAGAACTCGTTTCCTCTGTCTTCTTTTCCTCCACTTGATCTTTAACTGATGGCTTTCTGGTAACATTTGTTACTGTAGGTTTTGGCTCATCTTCCACTTGACTCTTTGGAGGTTGCTCATCTGTTTCGGTTTTTGGTGCTATTGTTGGTGTTGATTTTTGTTCAAATTCCCCTGGACCCTCCTGGGTTTTTTCAGCTGTTTTGACTTTGGTTAGCATTGTTGGTGTTGGTCTTGGTTCAAATTCCTCTTGACCCATCTGTGGCTTTTCAGCTGTTTTGACTTTGGTTAGCATTGTTGGTGTTGGTCTTGGTTCAAATTCCTCTTGACCCATTTGTGGCTTTTCAGCTGTTTTTACTTTGGTTAGCATTGTTGGTGTTGGTGTAGCTCTTGGTTCAAATTCCTCTTGACCCTTTTGGGGCTTCTCAGCTGTTTTGACTTTGGTTAGGATTGTCGGTGTTGGCCTTGGTTCAAATTCCTCTTGACCCTTTTGAGGCTTTTCATTTGTTTGCATTGTGGTTGCCCTTGGTGTTGGTTTTGGCTCCAACTCTTGATTCATTTGAGGCTTACCTGATACTGCAGAACTAAGTCTTTCTACAGCTTCCCCTTGACCCTTCTGAGGCTTAATTGGTTCCGAAGGGATTTGAGGTGGTGTGTCTTCAAGAGTAGCCTTTTGTTGTGCCTTCAAGTCAGGGCTTGGTGGTGAGGCACTTTTCTTGTCTTCAATTGGTTCTTCCACTTTAGTAGTTGTTGTAGGTTGTGGGGGAGTGGTTTCTTTGCCCTTTTCATCAGGCTTTGCTTTAGGTACTACACCTTCGTCTTGTGAAGTGGTCTTCTTTGGCATTGTAAGGATGAGAACTGGAGTTTCAAACTTGGCCTGAAGTGCCTCTGGCTCACAATAATCAGGAACAGGATATGATTGGTCGAATCGGATCCATCTGGAGCCTAGAATTTGTCTTTCTCCTGAAATCCTCACCATCCGTGAAGGGGCCACATATGTAACCTTTACATTTTCCTTTGGAAATCCTGCAAAGGGAGTAGAAAAAGGAAACATTAATTCGACACAAATGCCAGTAAAGAAAAAGGAGAGAAAAAAATCAACAGATTTAAACTTTTTTTAAGATATAGATTTTGGATTTTTATTTTTTATTGCATACAATGGTAGCAACAATGTTTGAATTTAAGACCTAAACTCTTCACTACTAGGATGAATTTAGTGGATAATAGATTTGGCGTGTGTTTAGTTTAAGTTAGAGTTTGGAAAATTAAATTAATTTTTATCAATAAGATTATGAACCATTAAATGTACTATGTTTTGCTTTTGTTTTTGAAAATTGTGAGAATTAATGTAATTTTAAAATAAAATGAGCATAATTGTAGGATAAATTGAATTATTTTATTATTCTGAAGTGATTAATCAATATATTATTTGTAACACATTCGTCATTGTTGAAGTAAATTTTATGTATACTATACTAAAAAATTTAGAGTAAACTTAACTATAAAATTTCCATAAAATTCACCTAATAATGATGTACTGAAAAGTATATTACTAGTATTTCTGTGTAGTGTGTGTCATATACATGGAAATCTTTATTAGAATACACAATAGTACAATAGCTTAATTAAATCGCCTTGCAAGTTGCATCAATTAAATTAATTTTGTAATAGTAGTTCAAAATTATTAATACAATCTTCCGTAATTGAGTATTATCAATCTTCATTTCTTTATTTTGCCTTGGGATATAAGATGATAAACATAAAGAATGTAAAAATGTTAAAATTTGAATTTAGATATGGAAGAAAGGCATTAATTTAATAAAAAGGAGAAGTATCACATATTTTTAATTTATAATTAAAATAAAAACCATCAATTATTATTATTATTATAAGATAAAAGTAAATTTGCAAACCAGGAAGATAAATATGTAGAAGATAAGCTCCTGGGAGTTCTTTTATCTCTGATCGTGGCTGCAAATTCTCGTACACACGACGCATAGAAAGTTGTGGACGGAAAGTTGGTGTTCTCTGCCTGAAAGACATAGCTCTACAAATATGTGTTATAAGCTATATAGTAAAATAGAAGGTTTTCACTCACCAAATTGTGGCTAAATGCTTTGAATTAATTTGTCTGGTTTCAACTTTCGTTGCATCTGTATTTATATAAGGCATGGACATTGTTGAGATTGACTGGTTTTCTTGTCAAAGAGACAATTCCTTGTTTGTCTATATGCTTTGGGATTCCCTTTTCCAAAGCTGTTCTTGAATTATATACTAGGAATAACTTCTTTGCCCATGAAAATAATTGTTCTTTGTTTTGTCCACACTTAAAATGCTAGCCATGCAATATTCACGTATCATTATAATGTGAAATAGAGGTATACGTAATTGTTTAAGAATCACTATTTTGTGTTCCTTCCATCATTCTTTTTTCTTTGTGTCGAAATTGGTAACTATTTTTTTTCCCGAAAAGTAATAGATCGTGATTGGCTTTAATTTTTGGCGTCAATGACATCTATCTAGTTAACTATGGCAAAATTATACGACTTAAATAAATAATTTCACCATTAAAAAAAATAATTAAGATTGAATAATAGTTGGTAATTAATAAACAAATACAAAATGACATTAATTCTTTGTATTTTATTCTTTTAGGACTTAAGCAAGCACCTTGTGCTTGGTATTAAAAAAATAGATCCTTTCTCTTAGAAAATGGCTTCATAAGAGGAAATGTAGATAGTATGCTTCCCAAGGATTTCAACTCATTTTATTATTGTTTAAATCTACGTTGATGACATCATATTTGATGTTAGTAATAAATAACTTTGCAAGGAGTTTTCTATATGATATTGGACAAATTTGAGATGAGTATGATGGGAGAACTAAAATTCTTTCATAGAGTACAAATACACTAAGATTATAAAGGAACAAGCATACATTAGGCGAAGTACACAAAAGAACTACAAAAGAAGTTCAAGATGGACTATGCAAAACCCATGAGTCACTCATGTATTTATTGTCCACTCTAGGAATGGATGAAGAATCAAAGAATGTAGATCAAACTATGTATTGAGGAATGATATAATCATCTTGTACCTCACTTCGTCCATACTTGATATCATGTGCAACATCTACTTATGTGCTAGATTTCAATTTGATCTAAGGGAGCTATATTTAACAATTGTTAAGCATATTTTCAAACATCTTAAAGGTACTACTCATCTTGGTCTTTCCTTTGAGAGAAGTAAGGACTACAATTTGGTAGGTTATTATGATGCTGACAACATTGAAGACCAGATAAAATGAAAAGTATTAGTGGAGGTTGTCACTTCATTTAACACAACTTAGTCTCCTTGATGAGCAAAAGACAAGAGACAATTTCACTTTCAACTTTTGAAGTTAAATTCTCAATTGCTATGGATCAAACATGCTTGAAGACTATAGTATTGACGAGAGTAAAACTCCAAATCTTTGTGATGATACTATAGCTATAAATTTATCCAAAAATCCCATAATGCATTATAAAGCTAAACATATTAAATCAAACATCACTTTATAAGAGACTATTCAAAAAGGAGTAATAGACATCAAGTTTATAAACACCGCGGATCAACTTACTAACCTCTTCAAAACATCCTTAATGAAGATAGGTTCATCCAACTAACAAATTTATAAAGGAATGATTAATTTTTATGTGTCTAAGGACTAATCGTCCAGTCAAATGACTAGTAATGTCTATTCATCACGCAATTATGTCATGTTCATCCAATATATGGACATTTAAGGATGCACGACATTAACCCGAATATTTATGTCTAATGATTTGAATTTTTGAATGATTGTTGAGTCATATCAAAGTGGAGAATCGTGCGGATCCAAAAAACTCACATTTAATGCCTCTAAATGAATTAAAAATCTCAAGAGATTCTCTCATTTCTTTCTCTGCCACGTCACCAAAAAGTGAGATGCTTGTTTTGACCATCTTGGAGACCCCAAAATCTTGGAATATACACATTACTATGACATCAATCAAAGTACACTACCTCCTTAATTTGTTACATCACTTCCTTCATTACCTCTCCAAAACACCCTAACTTCTCCTCTACATCTCAAGAAATGTTCATGGTAGCCCAACAAGGAGTTTTCATATCTTTTGAAATGATATTTGGATATGCACAGGTGAAGTATCTCCACTAAAATAAAAGGGAAGAAGACATTTGGTGGATAAGATTTAGTTTTCTTCACTTTGTTGAAGCTAGGGGTAACCCCTTTCTCAACAAAACTCTCTTTGGAAATGAAGATACTCACAAATATCTACAAATAAATCTTGATCTTCACCTTGATGAGGCCAAGGAGAGTTCTTCCTCAACAAGGTCTTTGTGAAAGTGAAGATCCATGCAAATGTCCACAGGGCTTCAAGAAAATTGCAAAGAAAATATAAACACTAGAAGGGGGGTTGAATAGTGTATATAAAAAACTTGCACATTTTCTTTGAAGTAAAGTAGTAATGCTGTTTAAATGAAGCAAGAAGAACAATTAGATAGAAACTGAGTATTTTTATACTAGGTCATCTCAACCATTAAGACTACGTTTAATTCTTAATTTAACCAAATTGAGTTTCATTATCTTTAAACAAAGATACAAGTACTGTTTTAACAAGCTACTTCTGGCTCAACCCTAAGTATTCTTTAACTTATCTTTTAAAATAATTATCCAAGTATTCTTTTACAGTCAAGTCTCTCCAAACTCAAAACAAGTATTCTTTTACAAACAAGCCACTCCAAGTTCAACCTTATAACAATGGTTATAAAGGTTATTCAAATGTTGTGTTCATCTCACTTAGACATTACACAACCAATTATAGAGCAATGAATGTATACAAGAAAGAATATATTTTCAGAAAGTGTTCCTATACAAATGTATATGTACAATTAGTCTATCTCTTTCTTGTGCTTTGATTCTTCTTATATAGTAACTTGGAGAAGATGAGTGTTGTAACACTTTGAGTCTAGCTCACAAGTTTGCTTCGTCTATTTTCATTGTCTTCTTTTATGATGACAGACAATTGTTTGACACATTTAATACAAACATTAAATTTATTTCATCAAATAATACCTCTTATTTGATCAAGGAGGTTACTTATCAATTTTCCTTACTAAACGGAGCTTGCAAAATCAATGTCAACATAGAACAATTATAGTAGTGACTTTATCTGCTTTTCTATATGATTTTATAGATTTGGTTATGATGGAAAACATGGTTCTTCTCTTTAACAAATCTATGAGTTTCAAGACCGTTTTTGATTCGATCTGTTAAGGAATGAAACATTTAAAGTGAACTTTGTCATTAGTCTCAATAAATGATAAGTATTTAATATATATGAGATAGATTGTATGCTTCGTCTGATTAACAATTGTCTTATAGATAATCTGCGTCTTACACTTCATTTGATAAGCCTTTCATAAATACGTTTCAAAGACGTTTTTGCATACATTTCTTGTAATAAAAATGCTTTGTTTGTTAGTATTAAAACTCTAAATTTAGGGGATCATCTCTTGACTTAGTGAAATAGTTGAGTGAAGCTAGTTGTATACCAAAGCAAGGTGTCCCCAATCAATTTCAATAGTTCTTCCTACGTAGCTATGCACACTTGGCTATAATGAATGCTTTTACCTATTGACACCCAAGTCTCTGATGGTGGAGTTGCCATCCACTTTTGTTCCTACTTACCAGAAAAACTACATGGACCAAATTGATAGAGTCACCTAAAGATTGGTATCACTTGCCTATAGAATTAGGATCATGAGTTTTCATGAGTCCTTGGGGAATGTTAGTGGATGTTTAATGCCGCTGTATTATTTGATAATGATTTATTGATGTTTGAGTTGGCATGAGTAATGTTGTGCTTAGATACTATCCTTATTTTTCATATATGTTTATAGATGTGTGGGATATATATGGCTTACTCGTCTCACATTTTTGTTGCTGTTCTTGCTTGGGTTGAACTTCATGAAAATGGTTGATCAAGTAGATAAGGTTGAGTGATAGCATTACCGAATCATTATAAAAAATTACTAGATTTTCTCTTAGATTTGCAATATAGGGAACAACCTAGGTCATTCTTTTTAAAGACACAAGTCAATTAAATATGAATTTATCCATCAAGTATTAGATTGGTGATTTTTTTTTCCAAAAAAACAATAATTGTAACATAATGTAAATTGAAAATAGAATTAATAACAAAATTAAGAGAATTTCAATCGAAAAAGCATCAATTCAATATTTAATTCTTACAACAAAATTGTCAATCTAAAATGCAATCCAAATTCAATCATACTCAAATCAACACGGACGCAATTAAAATATAAATTTAGATATAGATTTATAGAATTTCATTAAAAAAACGCCATTGCAACCTTACAATTTCTATGAAATTCAATAATGGTTAACAGTTAATTTAAGCAATTTTAGATTTAGATTTAGATACAAAGAATACTTCAATTAATATTTGGATCTAATACAAACCCTGTTCATAATTATGAAAAATGAAAATTAGATCTAGAAAAGAGAATAAGACAAGGTGAAGAATTTGTATGATAAAATAAAATCGAAACTTGAATTTTATTGCAATTCATGGAATCTCGAATTGATTGAGTGGATTAGCCACCCATCTCCATCAAAATGGTGCAACTAATTTGTGGATTGAAGGTAGAGAGAGAAATTTGTGAGAGAGATAAAATTTAATGAAACTTGTATAAGAAGAAACTCTAAATTTGAAAAAAAAAATGAGCAAAAGTGTATAAAATAAGTCTCTTAGTACCTATTAATAGACTAAATTAGTAGTCCTATTGATATTAATTACAAGCCTAACCCACTAATCACCTAATAACAAGACTAAGCCACTTCTAAAATAATTTCCTAAAGAAAACTCAATAAAAAGTGTAGAGGCAGAAATTGTTGGCACATTATTGGACCTTAACAAATATGAACTGACTAAACTCCCAATAGAGAAGTTGTAGAGCTTTGTCTTAACTTTCAAAGGACACTAAGAACGTTTGATCCTATAAAGGGCTTAGTTAACGCATGCTAATACTATAGTAGCCTCACACTCAAGTTGCTCT